AGTACTGGTTTCCACGATATTTACGCTTTTTTGTGTAACCAGAACGAGCCTTTGGTGGCATTGATAAATAAATTATCAAGCAAAATCGCAATAGGAATAGAGTGAACGAATACGACCAAAATGGTGGATGATAAGTTGGGAAATAGTGTCGCCACATATCATCCGCCATTTTGGGTGCTCGTAACTCACTGCATGTATGCCTGATTGAAATGTCAATAAACAACGGGAATAACCAGGGAGGGGTCCCAGGAGAAATTCCGTCGTTTCCTTTTGACTGCAACTGCGTTTTGTTTTCATAAACAAACCGTTGCTATGGTCGTTGCTAAGGTGAAAATTCATACTCGCTAAGGAATTTAGCAAAATTTTTGACTTTACCTCCTGAATATGGAAAAAAGGAAGCTGTAGAATGAAAGAGTAATGGTTAAAGATACCAAAAAGCACCATTTTCAAAATGAAAGTTTTTTGACAAAAAATACAAATTTTTGAGTGGAAGACCACCTTAACTCTCGATAAATTGGCCTACATAACCCGTTGATTATTTTATTATTTTGTAGCCCCAAAAGCCCGGCTTGTGACTCTGGAGGTACTGAACTTGATATATTTGATACACAAGGCACCCTTCGAGTAGGAAGGTTTGAACAAAATTGCTTTTATGACCATATATTGCACTCGGTTTACATATGTAGATAACTACTTAAAAAATACCTATTATATATAGCTGTAATCAGAAGCATAGACATGTACTGTAGGCAATATGTTTCTGCTTTATTTTATTGTAAGGGGTTTCTTTTTATGTAACATGTATCCATTCCTTTAATTTCCTCCTTAACCTGCCTGCAAATAATTGAATTTTATGTTTCAATTCAAGATGAAACAGAAGTCTCGCAGAGTTCTCATTCCAGATTGAACTCAGGTGAGAATATCAGTAAACAAGTTGAAATCATATGCTTCTCCTGAATCTTTAATTTTTATTGCCTCGGTTTTTTTCACAAACCCTATATATTTTACATCTCTGTGTGACAGCTATTGATTAAAACCTTAGTGAATAGTTATGCCATATTTTAGTAGTTTTTTGAATTCCATCTCCATATTTTTGACGTTTACTATTTTAAAATTCATAAATGGCATTCCCTTTTCATCCTTGTAAAGAGATATTGCACATTTATTTAACTAAAATATGAATTATGAAGTCAACTCAATTTCAATGAGTTTAATTTATACTCCACTTTACTGGAGTATAATGTTATATCTATTTGCTGTCTTTCTGGTACACATGATTACCATATGTGTCTTAACTCTTTAACTCCCAAAATTTCATGAGTAATCCTCCTTACTGTCTGCCATACAATTTATGTGATGTTAGTTTGGAGAATTTGAAATTGGATTAACCAATAATCCCCTAGTTGATATTTTTCTTAATTTTTTTTAAATGTCTACTTTATATCATACTAATAATGCAAGGAGAAATTCTGTCTTGATCACCAGTGGGACTTAAAATGGGGGATTTCATCATATTGCAATGATTAAAATATTCTCATGCTTTCAAATGTAACAAAAAAATGTGATGAGAGTCTGATGTTATGAAACACTTGCAATGGAAAAACCTGTTGCTGGTAGCTTATGTCTTTAATGCTTAAATTTTCATGGGAAGTGCTTTTCTTTGAAAGTGGGGATACAGGAGTTTTTAAGAGGCCCTGCGCCTAAGAAACGACCGATGATTTCTGGCTAAAAATTAAAATCGGCTGATTTTTATCTCCCAAGTAGAGGTTACCAAAACTATTTAAAAATGAATTTCTTTTGCTTCAGTTTCGCTTTAAACCAAAAATATCGAGCCGCGAACTTGTAACGTATGATTGTAGCAAAATATGTCCCAAAATATGCCCTTTCAAAAACCGGTTCAAAAATCCCTATAAATAAATAGTAAAATTTTTCTTAGGCAAGATGAGAGATATTTTTTGGGTGCCGCGGTTTTAGCTGAAAAACTGAAGAGGTTTTTTTACAGATGATGCCTGGAAAGCAGTTAGCAAATGAGGTTAGAATGGTTCGTGTACTTTAAAGAAAACGTGGTTTACGTTCTACTCATTCTTTCTTAAATTTAAGTGGTGTAAATACCTTGTCTAAAACAGTAGTGTGATACAATAGCAAACGAGATATACTCGTTCCAATACAGCGTCATGTGATCAACAGCCTTCATTAATTTTAGAACAAGTTTCATAAAATCATTTTAATCTTTCTTATTATAGCCGAAAACTGTTCGAAGATTGGTTGTGCCATCACTGCAAACGGTCAAGGTACTTCAACATGATTCAGTGCGAGAGCTACTGCCACTGATTTGACTGGTAAGACTTTTTTTTTTTGGTTGTTTTGTTTTTTTCCTTTTTCAGGTCGAGTGGAGTTGTAAGAAATTACCAAGAAAAATTAATGCGCGACTTTCTTCTTTTAGGTGTTGTGCACAAACAGATGAAGAGCCCGATGAATAGATTTGTCCTTCATGAGAACAATTACCTAGAAAATCAGTTTTCTACGAAAAAAAACCCCCTCGATTGCGGCCAAGCCATATTTCTTCAGCAGAGCATACTGTAAATTAAAAACATCGGTCGCAGCGTCACGTAACATTGCGTGATTTTCCAAACGTGACATGCAGTTGCTGCATTACTTTAAAACTTAGAAATTACATGGCCCTGTATTAATAAAAGAGGACTTCATTTGCAAGCACTTGTAGACTTCAACATAAGAAGAACCTAATAAATTACTCTTTCTCTTTTTCTCTCACTGTATAAATTATTTGGCCGGAACGAAAACAAATTAATATACACATGGGTTGGAGCCATTCCTGTCAGCGGTGAAATACAGGAATGGCTCCAGTCCTTGGTCGTCCGCCTAAACTGACCACATGAGTTTTGTCAACGGAACTTGGCAGCGGATGACTTTTTCATCGTCGGCATTTCGCTGAACGACCTCGCTCAGCAAGGTAGACTATGCCTTCCCTTCGTTATGTAAGTAGCCATTTCTTGTTTGACACATCGGCGTTTCCACATTGATATTTCATTGTTCCGCTTCAAGACACGCGGTTAACAATACTCACGAGCAAGGAGTTAAGATATAACCTATTTAACTTTTACTATTTTTATCATCCAATTACAGGTCGGAGCCATTCCCGTATTTAGTCGTATTTAGCTGCTAGTTGTACTTTCTCAAAAGAAGGTCTCCTGGACTGCGGACCCTCACGTGGTCGCACGAAGACAGTGTTTCTGTATGAATGTCGAAATGTTTTAACTACGCATCTAAAAATTGTTTTTCGTCGCATGGTGGTAAATGACCCTTCTTTTGCTAGGGTGTCAAGGGTCTGATGATTGTAATGTATATATTTCAATAATAACGGTCTCCGCGACAGCACATCATTCTTACTTGTCTTTCGATTTTAGTATCTCTACGAGCGCTTAATTTTGTTATTTATTTATTTATCCATTCATTTTTTGCGGATGTCTTTTCTCTCGCGTAACGCAAACCTATAGAAAACCATTATGCTAACATATTTAAAGCTGGGTGGCGGTTGACGTGAGCCTGTCCGGATAAAGCCGCTCGTTTCTGCACTCGCGCAGCTTTGTCGACGCTTTGTGGGAACCAAATTTCCGTTTTCCAGAGACACCAAATAACTCACTTTAGTTTCTCGAATTAAAGGTTTAATCTTCACAAAATGTTGTATACAACTCAAAATCTCTCCTCTCTCAAAACGTCACCGATGCATATTTTCCATTAGGTACGTAATTTGAACCGAGGCTCACATAATTTCAAAACGAGGTTGTCAATAACAAAAGTCACGCAACTCCCAAAAAAAAACAGTCACGACATCCTCCCTCCATTTAAGTGTTAATCAGCTTAAATGTTCTTAAACTTCTTGTGAAATAATGTCCTTGATTCTCTCGTTTGCGATCTCCTTGGATCTTCTACTTGGTCTCAATCTTGGTATGAACACTTCTGCTTCTGGGTTTAGCTGGCAGTCAGGATGCTCTACTCCAATTTCTAGTTTACATACAAGTTGCAAGGGGCGCTCCGCGATATAACCATTCCCTTGTTTAAGCTTCAATCCTTGGACTGTTCCATCCTTACCCGTGACCTTTCCTACCACTCGTGCAAGCTTCCACAGTGCTCTATTCTTGGTTTCATCTTTAAGCAACACCGGCGCTCCTGTGTTCGGGATTTCGGCAATGTTACCGGTGGGCGGCCGCTGTCTTTCTTCAAGGGCGTGCACATACTCCTTCACGAATCTCTTTCGAAGATGCTCTTTGCTTTTCTGCAGAAACCTCATTCGTCTGGTTCCTTCTTCCTCTCCGATCTTCTCAAGATCCTCCTCTAAGATGGGGATGCATATTTGTTAAGATGCTGATCCACGATTGGATTTTTCTCTTCTTCTTTGGCAAGAAGCTGTTTCTCGAACTTAGGCTTCACACTCTCTTTTGCTGTTTCTAAGGCTTCCGACACCTCAGGTTGCTGTGGCCATTTTCCCGGACAACTTAGCCAGTCTGGTCCTTTAAACCAAAGCTCTCCCATCTTACAGGGCTCTGTGCCTGTACTTCCTTGGTCACTGGGATTGTCTTTCGTAGGGAAATGGTGCCACTTCAGGTATTGCTTGTCTTGTATCACTTCAGTACGGTTTCGAACAAACTGTGACCACATCCCATGACCTTTAATCCAGTACAGTACTGTAGTACTATCGACCCAGCAGTGATACTCTTCAACTAGCTGACCTTCCATCACATCCTTCACATGATTCATCAATTTGCTTTAGGTGTGTGCTGCAATAAGCTCCAACCGTGGGATTGACAGGCGTTTTGGTGCTATTCTTGACTTCGCAACAAGCAGGCTCTGGTGAACTGGAGCAACATGATGAAATACAAGTGCGTAAACTGCTGCTGCTGAAACTGCTAGCTTGCTTGCATCAGCAAAACCATGAAGGTCAATTCTTCTCACATCTTTACTCACAACCCTGCGCGGAACACTTATTGACGGACACTTTCCATTTCCTTCAGCCAGTTGTTCCTAGATCTTTGTATCTCGTCTGTTACCACTTGGTCCCACCTCAGTTTCCTTAAGCAAACCTCACTGTACAGGATCTTTCCCGTGATGGTCACTGGTGCTGCAAGTCCCAACAAGTCATAAACACCATTAATGGCCGATAACATCTTTCTCTTGGTAAGGGGACCGTCACTCATTGTTCCCAATGGCTTTATGAAACCAACTGAAATTGTGTCTTCTGCCTTGTTCCAAGGTACTCCAGTTATCTTTGTTTCTTGGGAATGGGTTCCAACCACTAAGTTTGCATAAGTCGAGCTTGCTTTTGATAGTAGGGTTTCATCATCAATTCGCTGTGGCTCTTCTAACTCTGGAGTGTTGCTGTGCCACTTGTGCAGGTGAAACCCTCCTTCTTCCATTATTCGCGTGGCCTCCTTTTTGAAACTGATCAGCTCTTCTACACAATCACCGCCTAATTGAACATCGTCCACATAGGTGTTTTTTAACAACTCATCAGCAGTACTGGGGTACTTATCAGCATAGTGGCGCACATGTTTTTGAAGTGTGGCCCCAAGAATATATGGGCTTGGTCCTGACCCAAAATCACTCTGGTGAAACGATACTGCCTCACCGTTCTTGAGTCGAGGTTCTCATACCATAGAAGGCGAAGGGCATCTCTATCTCTTGGGTTCACTTTAATTTGAAGAAAGGCCTTTTGAATATCTCCGGTGATACACAACATCATATGATTTCGAAGAAGGATGTCAAATAACATGGGTTGTAAAGGGGGTCCTACTTCCAAACAGTCGTTCAAGGAAGGTACTTGACAATGTGTCTTAGCTGAACAATCATAAACTATCCTCACATTTGTGGATTCGGCCTGGTCTCGGATCACTGGTTGATGAGGAATATAACGGATGACCTCCCCCGTAGGTGTTTCGGGCACCTCTTCCAAGATTCCTTCTGCTAATTGCTCTGTCATAACCATATGGTACTCTTTAAGTCGCTGCATCCTCTCCAACTTCTGTGTGTACTTCTTAGCCTACCAATAGTCAGTTGTTTGTTTGAAGGCAGAGGGGGGTGATCTGGGTTCCATGGCAACCTTGTTGAATATGTTCCATCATCCAAACGTTGTAAGTGATCTTTGAAATCTTCATGGAACAACTGCTGCCCGTCAGCTTTATCAGTCAGTCCTAGGACCTCCTGCGAACACATCTGCTCGAATTCACCCTGGCTTGAAGCTAGGAAGAAATCCTTTTCGGTCTCCGTACTCAAAGGTGTTAACTTTCCTGTGATCACCCAACCCAGCATGGTGTACTCTGCACCAGGATAAATGTCTGGATCTACTCTTAGGACAGCTGGTTCAGTTGTTTTGATGCGCTGGATATCTGCAGCACCAAGGATCACATGGACTGGCAAGTTATCTTCCATCACCATTTCTTCACTGAAGTGTTGTGTCCTATGCGGTAGTTGGCCTTCTTTAACTCCGAGATTCTTGGGTTAGGGATGTGAGTTAACACGGGTTTCTCTGCATTTATGCAACGTAGCTCAAGCTCAAAGCCCTCGATGGCGTTTGATTCAACGCGGACCTTGTATATCTCAACAAGTTTTTCCACTGTCCCATACATTTGTTCTATGACCCTCCTTTTAGTTCGGTATGGCTTCAGGTTCAGTTCTGTAAGCAAACTTGAGCTGATGTAGGAGCTTCCAGCTCCACTGTCCAACATGATTCGAGCTTGTACTCCTCCAACTTTAGCAATTACAGTTGCATGCAAAGTACACATGTTTTGAGAATCCATTGCACCATAATACCTGTCAGACCGACCCGATGACTCAGGGGTACCCTTGTGGGTGGGCGGGAGTGTCGTCTTCATCTTGTCACATACAGAGGTATGGTATCTTCCATTACATTTGCCACACCCTCGTCCTTTACATTTGGAAGCTAGATGCCCACACCTTGCGCAGTTATAACATAACTTGTTTCTTGCTAAATATTCCCGTCTACGGGCAATGTCTAAAACCTTGGTACAGTCACTGCTACGATGACTGTTTAAACCACAGTAAACACAGGGAGGGGGACTTTGCGGCTGCCGTATATTTCCTCCAGCCATAAAGTTTTTGTCTGGTTTCTTTTTGGCGATTGTCTCGATTCCCAGTTCGTTCGTTCGATCTTAATCATGAAATTCTCCGCGGCAGGCGATGATATAAATGTCACTTTATGGTTAGATGTTGACAGTTCTGATGCCTGTCAGCCATCAGTCTTGGCACGTTTCCACAAAGACGCCCGACATCTATCGAAACCGCCAACATTTGAGTATGCCAAAAAGACGACCGGCTGCAGGGAAAGAGGTTATGTAAAATAGTTTGAGCTTATCCCAGCCTGATTACGTTCTTCGTATATGTATAGCTCTGTAGCTCAAACTCATAGAAATGTGTTGCTGTTCCACGATTCTTTAAATTAAGGACTAATATCATGCCTTTCTTCTATGCTGAAACAAAAATGACTGCAGCAGCTGTGCAAGCGGAAAGATCCCTGATGTTTACTTGCGGATGCGACGGGCTCATAGTACATTGTGAATAAAAATTTACTGCGAATTACAGGGGAAATAACTCGTGTTTAACTAAACATCAATATAAAGGCCTTGAGATAAACCCTTTCACTCTAAATATCTTACAAGTAGTTCTCCTTTCTGTCTATCATACAATTTTTTATGATGGTAATTGGTATTGGATCAACTTATCATCCACTTGATGATATTTTTCCTTATTCTCATCAGTTGTTTGTTTGATGTTGTATTGAAATCGTGAGGAGGAAATGTGTCGTGGTCAGTCATGGGAATTAAAGGGTTAAAGAGTCCTCACACTACCCTGGCGGGCCACTTAAAATGTTAGGGCTCAACAACAAATAAAGCGAATCGTGCATATTCACCATACGGACCACAGCCTTTATTGAATTCAAACAAGTATAGATTTTCGCAGAATATAATATTGATGATAGCGGCTAAAGCATCTACATCTCAATTTCGTTATTTAGGAATGAAATTATGCTTTAACTTCAAGTTAGCTGTGTAGTCTTCACTGCAGTGAACCTATTTATTTTGTTCCGTTTCACATCCCAGCTCGCGAGCCTGTAAGCAAATGTTTCTCCGGTACTGTTGCTCACGTTTTGCCTATAAAGATTCAACAAACATAATCTTAAATTTCCCATCAAATTTATTGCAATAAAAGGAATAAAAAACAAGACCGTTAAGCTCTGACAAATAATGGGAGTAAAATGCATGAAAAGAACCGAATGACTTCTTCCTCAAATTCAACTATTGGGATATTGACTTAACCAGACAAACCGAACGGAAGATAGATTAAAAACCTGTACTTACCTCCTCCAAGCGTCTACGTATGTTCATCTTCATCATTTCTAGATTTCTAGCCCCTTCTTCATCTCTAAAACTTCCCGTAGCTTTTTTCTAAAAGAGTTTAAAACGGCTTTCAGCGCAAAAAAAATTACTGAGTTGAACAACTCGGATCACTCAACAATGACATGAATGAAATGATAAAGAGAAAAACATAATTGAAAGATTCCAGCTCATTTTGAAATGACTAAATACATAGATAAGGTATTTCTACCCTCACTAATGAGTATTCCTCGCTGGATATTCGCCTTTTAAAAGGGAAAAATATTTGTCATTCCTAGTCGGACCACCTAGACAATTTAACTAAAATCAATATAGCGATCCGTTTAAAATCCTTTTATCGAAAAGAAAATGAAACATTTTAGATGGATTGAAAACGAAAAAGATTTCTACTTATTCATGTATTTTTTTACCTTGCAAGGTTTCAGAGAACAGTTCGGAACCATCATGCTAACCTCAACTAACATGGAAGAAAGGAACAGAGCAAAAACACAAAGTGCTGTAGTCTTCATCTTGCTGACACAAGCTACAGTGCATGAGAAATTCTGGTATATATAATTACCTTTGACGATCCAAGATGTGTCCAGCTGTACAGAAATGCTTTACCAGCTCAGCTCGGAGAATATTAACCACTTTCTCAGTCGGCACTCTTCACAAAATGTGCCATAGTTTATCTGATAACGGGATTTTAATCAAGTTGTCCAGCTTGCCTTATTCTGCTAATGAAAATAGCAATATTGATATCGGCGCTATATAAGTATTAAGTATTATATTTACCAGATGTCAGTTCAGTCATCCAAAAACGCGCAAAAATATTAACTTCGCTGCTTAAACAGAGTAACCTTAGATAGATATTTTGCAAAGGCAAAGAAAGTTAATGAGGTGGAACCAACTATGAGTAACATGACGAACGAGTAAGAGGGTCCCAATGGGGTTAGCCGTTAGCCGTAAAACGGCCAAAATATTTAGCCGTTAGACGTAAAAATTGACAAATTTGAACCGTTAGTCGTAAAAAAAGTTAACCGTAAAGAATATATCTGTTGGAAACAATGGAAAGGTGTTAACCGTTAGCCGGAAATTAGCCAAAATTTTAACCGATAGTCGTAAAAGCCATCACCCCATTGAGACCCTCGAGTGAGGACTTTGGCTAAACGGCAGTTGAGGTCCTCTCGGCTGGCTGGATCACGCTATTCTCTCACTTTACAGCATCTTACTGTTAGAAGACTTTGAAGAAGGCTTTACTAACAACGCTGCCGACGGAAATTTCTGAGTACAAATAAATCGCACTATTTAATGTACAAACTCAAGTGCTTCTCCTGGAAGGTTTTTGTTTCTTCCCGAAAGATTATGACACCGTGAGGGGTTTTCGCGTCTGACTTATATACTTCCGTGTATTTCAAGTTGTCACAGGCTATTGTCAAAGAACATTGTTGCTGACTTTCTATGAGGGTATTTTCAAGATGTCGCGATCAGAAAAGATTTTTCGTCTCTTTCTTGGTCAAAGTGAATTTCATGGCCAGGAAGGGTTGCGGAACATTTTGGGTTCGTTTATGCGCTTGTTGTGACAGAATTAACTGAAGATTAGCGGCAAGGCTGTAGAATACCTCCTTCGAAACAAAGTCGTTGGGCCTTTTTCATTTTGCTTTATTTTCAAAGTTAAGGCTCCTTTCGTAGAAGGGAACGTCCGCATCAACAACATCGTCAAACTTTAAAAGGTGTAGAAGTAAGAAACCCGCCGCTGTTATTAATCAAGTGCGGAGGCAAACCAGTTATTAGGCGAAGTGTTAATTATAAGTCTAGCGACTTCTTTATATGTCACTGCGACATTAACTTTTAGAACAATTCAAAGATTTGTTTTTTTCATATAACATTAAAGCTCAGCGGAAATCTATAGATAGATATGGGTTACCTTCAAGGCGCCGGCACGAACGTGCGAGTTCCAAATGATGTCGAGCTGTCAACCACCCACGATGATTCCCCAGCTGTTTTCAACTCTGAATGCTATCAATAATAGAATAGTGTGACTAGATCGTAAAAGTCATTATTTTCACTGATGTAATGAATAGTTAATTCGGCATTAAACATCTTTTATTTCTTTCCTTTCTCTTTTATTTTTGATTTTATCATTTTGTTACTCAGCAAATCGACCGCTTTGCACAATAACGATTGCTGCTAGTGGCCAAGTATTTTTCCATCACTATCTTCGGCTTTACGATTTTCGTTTAACCAGGTGCAGTTTACATTAGCATCTTTTAGTGAAGTTCTTCCACGCAAATGAAACACCTTTAGAAACTTCCGAAAAACTTTTCGTTGGAGACTAGCCTTCAAAACGCAGTCATTTCAAACTGTTCTGTATCACGGCCGAATGTAATTGGTTGCAGCTTGAGTTATCGCTCAATAATTGTCTGGGACTTTTCAAAGAAACTTGTCAGTTGAAAGTGATTTTAACATTCACCGACGAACAATAAATTTTAAGATCGCGAATATTATTATTATGGTGCTTAACTCCTTATGTGCTATCTCTACAGAAATGGAAGAAAAAAAGAAAAAGAAAAGATTAAAAGATCTTGAATATCCTAAAAGGTGTGGAAATCTTGCATGCGCACGAGGAATATAGCCTAGTGTCTTATCTACAAGGAAATAAAAGAATGTTACTCGAGAACCTGGTGTTAACCTGAATACGCAGATGTGGTGAGAATAGATGGAGCTGGTGACACGACATTTACATGTCTAGCGTGACTTACGCCATCCTAAGTTTTTTGAAAATTTGCAGAGCTATGCAGGTTTAGCTGTTAAATTTTAAAATTTTGAGTCATTCTGGATGGAAATGAACACACAAGTTTCCGTAACAAAAGCCATCGCATCTCTCATGACGCCTTTCTGCTTGGACACGTATCCCATGTAAGCTGAAAAGAGAAACTAAGATAAAAAAATCAAAAATGAAGTTATAAAATGCTTGATGTTTCCCTCCTGACAATGCTTTTGTAGACTGATGTTCATGAAGGTTGTCCGATAAATCATCTTTCACATGTATTATTTAGTAAAGCTGCTCACACTTCAATGAAATAAAGGGGAACTAGAATTGTCATTTAAGGTGGGGTATTTGTGGTCCATTTGTATTGATATAAAACAGCCCGCTGTATTCCGAGCGGCTAACCACGGTTTTTTCAGTTTTATTTCAAGAAGAGCGGCTCTTACAATGCTGATTGACATCTCCATAGTAATTCAGAATTTCCCTTTGTTCTTTGGTTTACTAGATGTTAACGGCTTAACACTAACTCCGCCGTTTAAGCTTTTGTTGTCCTTTGCGCGTCCAGGCCACCACCGCTGGACAAGCAGTGACGGCGAAGAAGTGAAGAACTTTATAACGATAATTTCACGAAGCGGAGTTCTTTTAATGAACGAATTTGTTAATAAGTCAAATACGAAGCCATAGAATTTCAGATACTTATGCAAATAAACTATCTGGAAGAAACCTGTTCCACGACATAGAGTTTCTTCTAATGGAAGTGTCAGCTATCAGTTACAGATAACGATCAACCGCTACTCTATATTGCGAGGCATTCTCTATCATTACAGCCAGAGCCATATAACCACGACAAATTAAAACATTCTCCATTTGATCCTTGATTTTGCATTTCGCTTTATCATTCTTTACGGCAAAGTCGAACACCATTTTGCATTCAAATTTCATGCAATTC